GTGTGTGGACCAGTTGTGATTTTTGAGGATAATCAGGGCGCAATCGCCCTATCTAAAAACCCCGTAAATCGGCATAGATCGAAGCATATTGACGTCCGTTATCATGGCAGCTGGCTTGATGGCTAAGGCAGAAACAAAGTTCAAGCTGCAGAAATTCAGGCGTTACATTTTTGGATAGAATGCATGGTTTCAGTTTACAAAACTTGGTTCCCGTTCATAATTGTGCATAAATTTGTTATATTTCACATTTGGTAAGAAAATTATGTAAACATGGTTATGTCCTGGGCAATTTGAGATCAAGTGGGGGGTGTTACAGAATGCGACCTCATACATGTAGTACATAGTGTAATAAAAAAAACTCCCCTGATCTTGTTCCTTCGGGTCTAACGTAACTGACTCATGTGTTCTCAGTGTGATCTTTGAATTTTTAAAATCCCACCCCATCATGACAGAAGAAGTGAATTCAACACCCTGGATCTGGGCTACAATAGATAATCCCCGTCAACCAGAACAATTTTGCCTCGAGGGTGATCTACAAAAGGAACTTTACCCCGAAACCCGTGTAGTTTCATCAATTCCTGGAGTTATTTCCAAGCAATTACAGCACGCCCACAAAAGGACTTCTGTAATGCCCGAATTTAGAAAAACCTACGAGTGGGAGTTCTTCCGCTATACTGGATCGGTTGCCGTAAAACGTACAGATATTTGAAGCGGCGCATGTTTGTAATTCACGACATCGTTTTCCTTAAACTAAAACTCCTCAATTTCATACATAACATAGAGAACAAGCTTGCAGGGTCTGTAAGCTGGATTATACGTCTTCGATGTTCTATCTCCGTGTTTGTTCAAGCAAGCCTTTCGAAATGTGACGCGTATGTATATGTTCGTTAGGGATTTCTATACAAATATCTTGCCAGTGTTATTTAAGAAAAATGTGCCAGAGGTTACCTGCTTTGAGAGACTTGTATTCAACTTTTACAAATTTCTGCCATCTCACAACGCCAAAAAGTGTTACGACCATTCATGTTTCTGTCTTAGTTTCGGCGACTTCACTTCACTTCACTTAGCTTCTTTGTGCCTTCGGCGACTTAGCCAGTTTGAATTGGCTTGCGAGACTGCTACAGACTAAATCTATAATCACGAGTGAGCATGAGTTGACATTTTTCATCATTTACTTAGCCAAGCCAAATATTGTCCCTCGTTTATTAAGTTAAATTATTTATGTCATTGTTGTAGATGTGACGAAAAGCATGCGTTTTGAGTAGAGTAAACACGTCTCTTGTGCGTTCATCAACGCAGTATTTTTCCCTTTCTTTATTTTTTCATCATTTAGTGTTATTTTTAAAGCAAATGATCACGAAAGAAACTAAAATCTGGATTGTGATACAGTTAATAAGTCACACGAAACATCTTGGATTGCGATGGACCATTGCACGTAAGCTTTCTATTTACGTAATTTGGCAACAAACACAAAGCTGGCAGATAAAACGAAATCTCACAAAAACCTAATTTGGGCTTTTAGCTGGACATTTCAGTATATCGTTCTTGGGTTTACATTAAAAAAAAACATCGAATATATTTGTAGCAAAGAGACATTCACTTCATTTAAGTCAGCCGAAATTGCTAAAAAAATTGCAAAACAAGGAAGAAAACCCAACAAACAACCAAACTAAATTCAAAAGAAGTTTTGTTGACCTCCTCACGCAAACTAATTTCTATAGGGTTCCACAAATGGCTTGACCTATATAGTACACGTAGATGTTACTGAGTAAACACAGAACACTTTAGGTTGTGTGAGTTATCATTACAGTTCAAACACAGGCGGGAAAAGCGAACAAAACAAGGGCAGGATGACATTAAGAGAACAAAAAATGCCCTTTGGGTGAAAATGGTCTGTAAACCTCTATTTAACTGCAACACCAAAATACAGGGACAAATCCGAGGGCAGCTGAAAGGGCAAACAACGTAAAACCTTGTTAAAATAAATGAATATCTGCAACAATTGCAAACAAGAATGCTTAAACAACGAACTTAATTTTGATATACGTTTTCTTCATATTTGCCCAGGCCCAAAGTATAATAATTTGTTCTTTGTGTGTTTATTTCTGTGGCATTTTATTCCGACATGTTTCCTTTATAGGTATTATTGCATAATTAGCAATATAAGTATAGGTCAAAAAGCAGAAATTGGTAGACGCATTTTTTTTTTCTTTTTCAAATACATGAATAACTGCGACACTTGCAAACAAGGAAACTTAAACAACGAACTTAATTTTGAAATACGTTCTCTTCATATTGGTCCATGCTCTAAGAATAATAACTTGTTCTTTGTGTGTTTATTTCTGTGGCATTTTGTTTAAACATATTTTCATTTGTGGTGTTACAGTATAAATAGTAATAAGTATAGATAAAAAAGCAGAAATTGGTAGACGCGTTTTTTTTAGCCACAAAAACAAATATTTGGATGGATATATAATTGAATTATTGGTATACCCAATCTAAACACTTTCATGTCTCGCCAAGTCTGAGTGCCTTAAGACGACCG